ATAACTAACAAATCAGTTTAATTAACACCTCTCTTCATTTTATGTACAAATATTATAAAACTTGAATGATAGGTATGAAACATTCACATGATAAAACTTGAGACCAATACTGTCTCACTTTGCAACCTCAATGAGATCAGACATCACAACATATTCCAGATGACGCTCACCCAAACATCTTAAGCTAGTGAGCCCACATTAGTTGATATTGATGGATTAATGCCCTAATTACAATTACTGTACATTGTTTTTGCTAAAGTGTAAATGCCTTTAACTAGAAGATTGTTTAATGATCTTATACTTTACATGGTTCTTACATATGGTCTTCTTTTGTCAATAAAAATACACTAAAAAAAAATTCTAAGTACAGTAAATTGTCACACCATGTAAAAAACTGGTTATATGTGGATGATTCCTTACTAAATATGATATGATAATGATAAAATCACATTACATATCCATGGCATCAACTGATGAGATGGACAATGTGCAAGCTACACTAACAAGCAAACCAAATCATCTACTGTATACTGTACATTCTATCAACTAATTAAATTTCTATCTTTATACTGTACAAAAGAAGAAATTGTTCAGAAAGGACAGAGAAAATCCGAACACTAACTAGAATTGAAACAGAGGTGAAAAAAAAAGCATAACTGCCATGCAGAATCAAACTAGGTGCTTCATGTAGTTTTGCTCCAGTGCACAAGCGACAACTTCCTTTATGTTAGTTAACTTTCTTGGTTGTACCCCATCAGGCTTACACAAGTTTTCACATCAGCATTTAACGTGAAATATGTAAAGTTTTGTGTATACAATACTGTATATACTGTAGTAGTTTAAATGTTCATGATAGAAACAGTGGAAAATGTTAATAAGTTTATGCATTTCTCAACATTTCAGGATTAAACCCTTGCCCTCTTACACATTGATAAGCATAAACAAACCACACTCACAAAACTTTGGTGTACAAGAGCTGCCAGGGTTCACCCGTTTGACCGACTGAATCAACTTAAACATGTTTTTCACAGTCATGATGGAAAACCATTGTACAAAAAATATACATTAACCCTGTACTGTATGGCTGATTTTCCAGATTATGATATCCAGGTGTGTATATATTTTTTTTAATTCTTCCAAAACATTACTGTACAAGTATATTGCTGTAACAATCATTTTAAATAGTGTATATTACTCTGACTTTGGAACTTGGGAGGGGCCCAGCCAAGAGTGTTACATCTCTTCTAAAGACTAACAACAAAATTACATGAATTCATGTTTTCCAACAATTATTTCATCAACCATTTGCCTCATGACTCTGCTCTACACTCAGTACAGTATACCTTATCAAATACTTATGGGCCTTTCCAATTATTTGGCATACTCTTTTGCTCTTCTCATCAAACCATGTTTATCAATTATACACCTTTTCCCACATTCAGAACCAGGTGATGCAGTCAAAGCTTTTTCTGAACACTTTTGGTGCTCACCATTTCTACATCTTAAATGTGTTTAACATCTAACAGTAATGCTAAAAACACTTGCTAAAGGGTTCTTCATGTTTGGTTTAGATATGTACCATTTTCACTCAAATTTCAGTCTGTGCCAGTTGCCTATTAACCTAAATTTTGTTGATCCAACAAGCCTTACAATTCTGTACGGGCTATTGGAAACTTGGTTGGTATCACCATTTGCATTCAAAGATATGTACAGTAGCACATCCTTTTTTAGTCTGTACTGAAGCTTCCTTTATAATCGGCAGTTTAACAACATTCTGGGAGGGGTGGCCAATCGAAATAATAAAACTTGGGCTATAATGCAACTACACTGTAGAGACACAGAGGGTTTTATGAAATATTGCATCTGTTGGTATTTGAACATACTGTACAGATACTGGTGTACTAATCATCATGTAAATTTCAAGGCAAAAGATATCTCCTAACTAAGAGGCATCGAGTTCATTGCATATGCTGATTTTTGCCTCATCTAACACATATTAAATAAATTCTCAATCCCATATTCTAGAAATTCACTTTACCTACAGTGTTTAGTGAATATGAATCACCTCAATTTTAAGTTTATTATGCCAACATGTTTTATCAAAATTCAGTTACTGGTACCTTTGATAGTTGAAGGTATTTCATTGATATCCTTTATTTTGAGGTTGGCAGACACTGCCCTTGTCCATTTTAGTACAGGGGGTAATGAAAAATGCAAATAAACAACATGCTTTTTTACAGCACTTGTTTTCTGCCAAAGCATCTGTAAGATACAGACAACTATTTTGCAAGATTAATTTATAATAAAGCAAAACTTCCATGAGTTTATTTGTTATAATCTCGCTTTTCATATTTTCCTAACGTCAAAAACTGCACAAGCCAAAATCCCTTAAAATGAACCACCATTTACATAAAAAATAGTTATGTGTTCCATAACCTATACAGGTACTGTACTGCCCAAGACCCCCTTCTATCACTATCACTATTTTGTTTCTCTAAGACACAGTACACACACTAATATTCCCCGTCAGCATATTTTATTAAAAAAATATTTCAATATTTGATAAATTACTATATTCAATCCAAACCCACTAGATATAGCCAGACCACGAGTTATGTTGCCCCTTTTTATTAATTTTTTCTTCATCCTGCACTTCTCTATAATATACTGTACTGTACTAATGCAAACCCCAAAATCACGCACACATGCACACACGCACACACAAAAAAAAATCTGAACCAAGTCAGTTTACAGTAGACTGACAATGCAATGCATCAGTTCAATGAGAGAACCATGAGTTATAATTAGTTATAGCTGTGTTATTCACTGTCATCTTACTTTGAGTAATGTAGTGCAGAACATACTAGTATAGTACAGTCTGGATTTAAGCGGATTTCCTTTACGCGGCACCTGGCCAGACAGGCAATTATTAGTTACGCGGTACATTTCGTCATTTACGCGGGAAGCAGCGCGGGCAGGGTGCGCACTAGGTCTCCCAGTCAACAAAACATTACCGAGTTCTTCACCCGCCACCCACCACAGCCGGCCCAAGTCAGTGATAGTGAGGATATGGACTTTGAGGGGTTTGACAAAGAGGCCCTGCAAGCCTCTGTGGTGGATAGTGATACAATTAATACAAGTGATACAGGTGAGGGCCAATAATCTGCCCTCTGCCCTCTGCCCCGGAACCAACCCCCCATCCCCGTATGCCCAGCCATCTCTTCTACTAACGTAAGTGTTAAAAAACCTAATATTATTTATATCTCTCTTAAATATTAATTGTGTGCATACCATCATAAAATTAAGCTGTTTGTTTTTACTACAATGTATGTATTGTATCTGGTGAAGTATAATTTGTTTAATTATACTAGAGATTTTTGTTTTTAGTTCATAAAATTCATAGAAATTACCAGGCCAGTATATAATTTACATTGCTGGAATTCTTATAAGATAGTGATTAATTTGAATATAAACAAGCTAAAATTTGCATTAGACACAAATTTTAGATCTAATTTAAGAATTTTATTAGAGAGCAAAATTTTTATCTTTTGTGCAAAATATATGACGTTTATATTCAAATTATTCGCTGTCTTGCAAGGAATCCAGCAATGTAAATTATATTCTCCTAACTTAAGTGTGAGGTATTATTAATTACTAAACCTGTAAGCCTAGTCTTTTTCCCAAAACATTTCTCAGGAAGGTGGTGGGTGGGTAAGGAGGGAGGGGAGAGGGAGCCAGCTAGTGTGGGAAGAGGGGGGGGGGGGTTGAGTCTATTATTTGAACAGACATTAACCCAGCGACTGTATTTCTCTTAAATATTAATTGTGTGCATACCATCATAAAATTAAGATGTTATTTTTACTACAACGTACGTATTGTGTCGGAAAAAGGGTAGTCTGGGGTCGACCCAGTCTCTATTTCAATTAATTCCTTGTTGTTATTTCGTTTACGCATTTCTCGTTTTACGTGGACCTCCACGGGTTCAATTGACCGCGTAAATCCAGACTGTACTGTACAGTATGTCACGGTCACATTTAAAAAGACAGACTCATCACAGAGTTCTTTAAAACTGTACCTAATGAAGATGACAGTGTTCAGGAAAACCAAGAAGAAAATGTCTAAACAGTAATGAGTCCATATCACGTCTCACATTATAACCAGCTATGCTTGAAGTAAGTGATGGTAATGATAGTTATGGATGACAGGGCCAACACAAGATAGTAGTGACAGAGAAAATATTGGCTCTGGTGTTGATAAAAGGAGAGACCCAGATAGTCAAGCAATGCTGCCCACCCAAGTTTATTGTAAGTACAGAGTATTATAACTTTTTAAATAGGGTTAAATAAATTTAGTACTATATGAACAGGTAACTCACATTTATCATTATTATTTGCTTGCACTCATTATTTCCCACAATTTTTTGAAATTCAAAACATGTCCAGTGTCACTTTTCATTTATTAGAAGATCTGAGTATTTTAAATCGATATCTTCTTCCCAATCTGAATTTACAAGAATTAACTGTATTGTACTGCATCTAATACCCATACAGTGTTACAAGAAAGGAAGTAGTGGGAGTCTGTGTAATTTTCAAGCCATTTTGGATGTAGTCTTACAATTCCATTTATGAAGAAAATATCTAAAATGGAGTAATCGTGTTACATACGCCAGTCAGTGCTGATGCTTGGTAATGCTGATAAAGTACAACCATAAAGCTTATCAGTACAGTACTGATAAATCACAATCATAGGGAAAGAATATGTTCTCCATATCAAACTAAGGCTTCAGTTATAAAGTACTTTGCTTTGTAGCAGCCAGTTCAGGAATATGGACATACAAGCTTTTGAAACTATTACGTGTTATTGGGATTTTAATCAAATCAAATTTTTTAAACTACCCAGTTTGCTTATTTCAATTTAATACTTTGTGTTACAGGAGGGGTAAACCATTAAACTATTCTGTGGAACAAGTCACAGTTCAAGATCATCTGCCTTAGATTAACCTTGTTCACTTTAATCCTTTTTTCAAACTTGCCACTCACAAAGTTCCAGATTGGCAGCTTTAAATTACTTGAATAGCAGAAACCTCCTGGGGGTTCTTTTTAGCAGACATAGACCTGAATCCTGTGAGGTAAAGAGGTGCAACTGAGAAACTATGTCAACACGATGTTGTGACAGAACTTGGCAAGGAGGCTGTCTCTGACCCCAAAAAAATTGTGGAGGGCTTGGTAACTCTGATCTCCATGCAGCACTCCTTTATTATTAATCAAATAGATTTTGCTCTTAAACTTAGTATTGTGCCCCTTACTTCCATCAATACAATGCCAAACATTTTGTTCTTATTGATGCAATGGATGTGTAATCTACAAGAGAACTATCATTCCTTTCCCACAATAAGCAAAAATTTATTTCCAGAACAGCACTGCATATTTCAAAATTACTCATGCCATTCACAAAAATTACTGAGGAAGACTTATATCTTACCTTATGCCCTCAACCTAACCCAGAGTAACCCTTCCTCACCACCATCTTATGCGTCATCATCGCCCATGAAGGAGTTTTCCAAAATGGAGGCTATCTTGTCTTGCATGGATGTACTCGGGAGGAACATCAAATTACCACCCAGTCCATCAATCCCCACTTCATCCATGCTATCCTGAATGAGGCAATTTTCCTACTGAAGTAAACATTACCCACAATACACAATCCATTTTCAGATGTGCAGGTGTGTCAAGAAGGATCCAGGGATGTTATATCCAGGGCTAAACATGGCAGGTCTCTATGTTACATAACCCTCCACTAATACCAATTTTAAGGTTATATACCATATAAAGAGAGAACTTACCTCTGTAGCTATATCCTATGTGTTACTAAATCTACCTTATTTCTACATGACTGGTAAGAAATTCAGTGGGGCAGTGTCAAGCTATCCCTGAACACACTCCTGGATCTATTTCTGTGTGTTGTGGCATCATATTGCTCTTGTCATGGTTGCATTGGTGACACATATCATGCACATTACCTAAACTAGGGTGTAAAAATTTTGAAAGCAATTTCTTTTCTTTTTCATGCTTAGGTTTTTTGACAAAATGTAAAAGATTTTAAGATAATCAAATAAACTTTAAATGTCTAAAACACAAAAATTTAATAAACAGCACAGCCTAATCAAATAAGACACAAAGCAGCTTAATAGATACAGAGACTTAACATACACCAATCTAACCTGTGAATTTATGATTGGTACTGCTTCATAACTAAAGTTCACCAAGGTATCCTACAGTTTGTTGAATTTTCACACATTTTTACGCTGAAGTAATCTGGCACTGTTCATTATTTGAGTACTGTATATAATGATTTCCTTTGTAATTGTGAATGAGCCAATCTGCTCATGGGGTACATAGTTATGGTACATTCATAAAGAAATTAACTCATAAATACTTTACATACAATATACTGTACTGTATAATTCATACCCATACTGCATGGAATAGATATATGAATGTTAATATTAATGCAATTACCAGGAGTCATATTAAAGAATGCACCATAAAAATATGAAATACAGTAATACAAAAACAATTTCAAGACTAGAGAAAGAAGCAAAGCTCTTCAATTCAGCTAATAGTACAGTAGTTACATGCACCTCTCTTCGCACATGGTTTCATTATATTGCTCATTGTTCTGGAAGAAATTTATACCCTGTTCTACAGTAGGTCACCCATGTTACCCAAGGCCTACAAGAAAACTAAGTAAAATTTTGCTTCCACACATACAAACTCAGTCGAATGTTTGTTTTACTCCTTAAATTACAAAATAAAAAGTGTTGTATGCATACTTTAATTAAAAAACAACATTATATATAATGTATTCAGAAGTTAAGAATTCCCTAAAAGCAAGATGAAAGGGTTTATTTACATTCCAGAAGCTTCTATTGTAACAATATTTGTCAGAAGTAGTGAGTAAATAAATAATTACTGTAGTAATTGAATAAATAGCCCAATACCTGTACCTGACATAATATGGGTTTGTAAGAGAACAACTTATTGGAGTTCACATATTGCAGATAAATTTTTAACACAACATTTACCATTCCTGAACTCAACTAAGCCGTTCTGTTCCTGTGGTTCTCCTATAATACACCAGTGAAATTGATTGTATTTTGTGGTCACTTACTCATCTATCCAATGCTTTTGACCTACAGGGTATATCAACCAATACAATATCAGACTACCTACAGGAATAACAAAAAGGTGAAGCATTCTCACAAAATTCACAACAATCTGTGATTTGTAGTGCATAGTAGTGCAGGTGTAAGGCGATCAGGTCTCACTATGATCTGTGTGGTAGAACTGTACATGTTGGAATTCCTCTTCAATAAATTAGGAAAACTAGTACTGTATATACACAATGAGAAATGAAAGTGAAGAGGAATAGGAGGGTGAAGACAAAAGAAAGTTAACTACTGTACGAGTATATACTGTATATACAGTGGTCCCTCGGTTAACGAACGCCTCGGTTAACGAATTACCTTCCATAAAAATCTTCATTTCGGTTAACGAACAAAAATTCGGTTAACAAAATTCTTACGAAAATGTTTTGACATGCTTGGGCTTGCTCACCAGCTGGAAGATTGGTCCGCCAATACAGAAATCGGTTCTAGGGATTACATTCGTTAAAATTGGAGTAAATATCAAGAAGGTTATACTATTCAATAATTTTCCAAGTTTTATATTAAAATTTTTAGTCATCTTAATACGTATTTAACATAATTGCAGTACAGGGAACTAGTTTTTGGTGCGCCCATCAGCCACTTCACTCACCCACCAAGGCCTCAGTTTGTATCTCTGTTCAGTGGACGAAACATCTTGCTTGTGGGTCTCTTAAACACAAGAGTATTTTTACGTTTTTACAGTACAGGTTGTACCTCTCTAGTCCGGCAACCTCGGGACCTGACCGTTGCCGGACCATGGAAGTTGCCGGACCATGGAAATTCACCTTTTTCCTTTATGGATAGTGACTTGTGCTTATGCTTGGAAGCACTAGCACCACTTTCTCTGCATCATGGTCTCTTTGAAGACATATTGAAGGGTTAAATGTCGTATAGTAGCTTCTCAAGTTTCGCGAGTTTTTAATTCTTAACGTATTTTATTGGAACACACAAAAAAATAAATAAATACAAATTTTGACGGCGGAAACTTGAATTTCAACGGGTTTGAACGGCCCGCCAACGTGCAGACGACGTGCATAATCGTGTAAACAGCGTCATTTCTCTTATGTACAAAAGATTCATTATTGTTTATTACTGAATGTCTTTTTTATTGAATTATAGTTTATGTGTACAAAATGAGCAATACAATTCATTAATAATACGTTGAATATTAAAACACACGAGGAAATGACACAGCATTGTTTTCGTTGATTACAAAACCAGTGACTGACTGGTTCTACATATAAAACTGAAGAAAATAAGACCTTGGCTGTAGCTGTAGTAAAATTAATATGGTTGTTTTAAGTAATGTTATTTAATGTTAATAAATGGAACAATAGAAGTAGCTAACGATAATGGTAAAGAAAAGAGAGAGATCGCGTATGTAAGTGCGCATGCGCACACGTGAAAACATATCGTCATTACTTTACATAAGAATATGAAAGCAACACTTATTTACTGTTCATATATATTTTAATTAATGTTTCTGAATTTGTTTTTATTGAAATAATGTTTGTGTGTGCAAAATTAACAATACAATTTATTAATAATATGTGGAATATTAGAGGAGACGAGACGGCTGCCGGCATTGTTTATGTTAAAGCTTACAAAACCAGTGACTGATTGGTTCTACATATAAAACTGAAGAAAATAACACCCTGATTTTAGCTGTAGTAAAATTAATGTAAAAAAAAATAATATGGTTGTTTGAAGTACCTGTAATGTTATTTAATGTTAATAAATGGAACAATATAAGTAGCTAACCATTAATGGTAAAAAAAAAAAGTGAGACTGCGCGTACGTAAGTGCGCACATGTGAAAACATATCGTCATTACTCTACATAAGAATATGAAAGCAGCACTTATTTACTGCTCATATATATTGAAGGGTTAAATGTTGTACTCTGTATAGACAAGCAGAGAGAGAGAGAGAGCAGCCGAACTGCCGGATGTAAACAAACCTTAATTTCCCGCGGCTTTTTTTTTTTAAGGGGATTAGCCCACCCGGGCATAGGTCACTGACCCACATTGGGGCCTGAGGGGCAAAAATTTAATACTCCTGTAATAATAATAATAATATATATATATATATATATATATATATATATATATATATATATATATATATATATATATATATATATATATATATATATATATATATATATATATATATATATATATATATATATATATATATATATATATATATATATATATATATATATATATATATATATATATATATATATATATATATATATATATATATATATATATATATATATATATATATATATATATATATATATATATATATATATATATATATATATATATATATATATATATAAAGCTGCCTATCTACCTATTGGACAAACTAAAATCGTTCCGGACCACAGAATGCCGGACTAGAGAGGTACAACCTGTACAATTATTGGCCATTCTGAAATTTATTTAACATATTGACAATATATAGTGCAGTACAGTGTTGATTTAAAGAAAATAATCTTGAATTACACCAAGTGAACTTAAAATTTTATGGGTGAAATGATGGCATCAAGCATGGGGTGATTTCTCTTCCACCCCCACTTCCTTCTCTTCTCCCTTCTCCTACACCCCACTTCGAATTCCCATCATCATCAACCAGGAGCCTTCTACATGCACACCTCAAAGTAAGTGTACTTTACTGCATTTTTTTTTTACTTTATATGTAATTTTTGGTGAGCTGGAACCAATTACCCAAAATCCCATTGAAACAATGGTTTCGGTTAACGAACGACCTTCTGGAACGAATTGTGTTTGTTAACAGAGGGACCACTGTATACAGGGTATTTAAAAAAAATGATTAGCCATAAAAATAGAAAATTACAAGAGGAAAATGCAGTCTCACTATTTAACCAATTCAGGATAATAAAACAGCATAACATACAAATTTAACTAAAAATAATAATTCCAACCTGTTAATATATGAAGAACTAATAAAAAAAATTAAATTAGTAGTATAAAAACATTGTACGGTATGCATGAAAAATGGTGCGTGTGTTTACCTCTCCAGAACTTACCTTTTGTTTGGAGGAATGTGTGATCCTGAGTGAACTTTGATCCTCCTACCTTCCATTATGGCCTCTAATATCTGTTACCCATTTTTTGCCTAATCTTCTTGTGTCCCCTATGCAATCTTGTTCCCTACGTCTCCTTACCTTCCCCCAAATATTTCAAAGGAAGATTATATCACAATAACAAGCTCAACCCTGCCCATGTACCAACAATGCATATCATGAATCAAATTGTAAGCTTTGGAGCAAATTACTGTACAGGTACTGTACTTGAATAATCGATGGGTATGTTGTTGAGGCTTAAATACGTAAGACTTTGTCCCCCCAGGGAAATACAGCCAAACTTCCCAAATCTTAATTGTTTAAGACTAAGCACTGTTCAAATTCTGGAAAAATTCAAACTTTGGATTCTATAACATCATGGTCTTTTTATACACAATTCAGGTGTAATAATTATATGCAAGTTGGCCCAAATCCTATTATTTTCTTAATTCCTTAAATACTGTGGAAAGTAAAGTCAATGTTTGCCTTTAAAACTCATTACTGCATACCGTATATATTACAAAAGCAGCAGTACAGTACCATATATTAAAAAAAATTAAACCCTCTCACTACCAGGCCAAGTGGGGAAATTTCCAAGGGCTGCCCAACTGATGATGATACTGTATATTCATCATCCAATGAGCTTTATGTTACCGATATGTTGTAGTTATTTTCCAACTTGTAATTTCGGGTATACAGTACGTATTTTTTTTTTTTTTTTTTATACCCAGTTAAGCATTTCTTTGCGCACTAAAGTGTGGGATCTCAGCCGCCCAAAGCTCTCTCTCAGGTGGAGTGAAACGAATGAAAAATATTACGACATCCAGCAGTGAGAGGATTAAATATAATAGTACATATAAACAAAAGCAGAAAAACAGTACCATCACGTTAAAAAACTTCCACCCTGTATGCAAAATATTACAGAAGCATCAAGACATCACATTACAAGTATGTACAGGTATATGCAAATGCTAGGATTTTACACTTGCAAAAACAAAATAATGTTCTATTCAAATTTTTTTGTAATAAAAGTTTCTTAAAATGCACAAACATTCATAACTATAGCCAGTGTTATGATATAAAAACTGGGACATAGAGTTATAGAATACATTACCGCACTGCCAGGCAAATGATACGCTTTGCACAACGAATTTTATGAATGATAATGCTTTATCAGAAAAACTCTTATAAATGGTAATGCTTGAATAGAAAAAATTATATGTTAATGTGATTTGATATAAGCATTTACTGCTTAGTGTTTACTTACATTAAGAGCTGACCCAGAAAAAACAAGTAAGTAGCACTTGGCGAAAATTTAGCGAGTTACACATGACAGGATTTTTCTGTTCAAATTTTGGATGCCAGCAGATTTTATGTGATCGGAGTTTAGAAGTTTGACTGTACTGACCAGGAGTAATAATAGCAAGACTGTATTGGGGGTACTGAAACTCAGGTTTAGTAAGAACACGACAATGCCAGAATTCACTTCTACTGAAAATGTGCTCAATGTCCAATCCAACCTAAACATGACTCACTAAGATACCATCTGAGGAATTCACAAATGCTAATTAATGAAGTGTAAGCACATCAATTTCTTTAAAAGGAGGGAACAGTGGATTTAACATGCAGATCTAGCCAATTTCATATAATACTGTACCAAAATAAACTCTGTTTACAGCCATCCTGTGCTAATAGACAGGCTTCACCTGATACCAGTCCCCTGATTCTGAGATCCAGACCAGCATCAATACTCTACATATACAATAAGCAGAATGAGATACAGTATGCTATTTTGAGAGTAAATTAAGTGTAAATTCTTGTTCTGAGGTTATCCATTTCTAGCATGCTCACCAAGGGCCAAGAGTTGGATAAATATAACAAACCCATGACTAGTAAAAGTAAACTCTTTACTTACATATCATAACACTTGAACAAATCCTAGTTAACTACCTTTTAATTCTCAATATTTGGACAAGGAACTTAGCTTTTTAGAAAAGAAAAAGTGGCAGAAACTGGATGTTCATTGAGTGATCCTGGTTTGCATGAGTACATAAGAAGGCAGTGTCACTGATTGATTAGGCACTAGTTTAAGGCAGATTTCCATCATTTTCCCTCACTCTCTCCTTCCAGAGGGGATGGGCAACTACAATATAAGACCCCCTCAATTGAGGATGGAAGGGTGAAAGGTAAATAATAATTTAAAGATCAACCCTTGTAGACCCAAAAGGCAAGGGTCCAAGTAAAAGTGCTCAAGAGGCCTCAATTAAGTTGCCTCTATTGCAATGGGTTGCCTAGCAGATGCTAGTAAGGCAAAAGACAAAATATTAATGACAGGAAACTGAAATCATTATCAGGGTCAATCTGAGAAGCATTACAGCTAATTATTTTGGCTCACTAGATTTTGTAATTGCATGGCTGCTTTCCCTTGATTCTATCAGAAACTTGGGTGTTTATTGGACCCAACTTTGAGTTTGACTTTTTTTTTATGAATAAAAAGTCCAGGAAGAAATCAGACATATGTTGCTGTCCAATCTATCACATTAGGAATCTTTACACACTAAAGAGATTTGCGATAGAAAAAATCTTTAGATACTTGTCAATGCAATGTATGTATGTGTGTATGTGTGTGTGTACTACTACGTAATTTTGCAGAAACAATATCTACATTCTCCATACTAAATAATAGTACAGCATATACAGTACTAAAATACAAATCCCTTCATTTTTCAATAAGCACATACAGTTCCTATATAATAAACATACAGCATTAGCACATAATGATGCTTGCAGTAGGCAGTCACGCAGTAAACAGGCTGATCACCTGGTGGGAAGGGACAATTCTAACACTCGAATGTCCTTCACATAACACAAGCATAGAATAGGAAGGCATTTTAACATTTTATAACCATCCCAAGTTCAAAATTGCTACTGCTCCATAATATGTGCCCTAAAATTAAAATGTTTCAAAAGAAGGTATCTTAAATGAAGGATACTGTACATGTATATACAGTGAGTGCCTGAGTTACAAACACATGACTTACAAACAACTGCACCTACCAACTACAGTAACTCCAATAAGAAGTCATAATAATTTTAATATCCAACATAAGCTAAATTTATCGTAGTTATGAACTGAAGAATTACTTTGTTCGGTACAATGCCTCCACAGGATGTTATGAGTCCCAGTGAACCATTCATTTGGCAACAATGCAGTGTGACATTCTTTTCTGTTTTTTACTTTTTGGGCATTTTAGTGAACTTCAGAATATCTGAGAAGCAAGAGTAATGCAAGGGATCCATGTGCATCATAAAAACATAGAAAATTGGGCCTAATAAAGCGGTCTGAGAGGGGCAAAACTCCTCTGTATATGGGGCGGTTCAAGAACTTAACGGGTCTACAAGTGAGACCACAATCAAGGGTAAGGCAAAAATTCTTATACACATAAAGGGATCAATGCTAATAAAGTCTACAGTAATTACTAAAATAGAGAAGTGGTGTGATTATTGACATGGAAAAATTTTGATTTTGTGAACCAAAACCAGATTTGACATAATGACTCTGCCTGATACTAATTCAGGAAAAGGCTAAAAACATTACAAAGGCTTAAAGTCCAAGCTTGATGATATTGCCAGTGACTTGGCCAATTGAAGACTAGAACAAAAAGGTATAATATTAAAGTGAGTGAGGAGGGTGTGAGTGTTGATTTTAAAGCAGCAAGTGAGTTACCTGATACTTTGGCTGCTACAGTATCATCCACCTCTCCTTCAGGAAACACCCCTTCCGACAAGCCAGGCAGCTTCAAGACAATGTGAAATTAGAGATATTTTTTCATTCGATTTTACTTTATATTATGTTTTACTGCATTAACTACTGTAAATTCAAAGGTATGCATATATAAGAATACAATATTTATTACATTATTGCAGTTAGGTACTGGTATTTACTAAAATTTCAAGCAATTATATACAGTAGGTTAAACATAAAATTCAGTGTTACGAACATTTCAACTAACAAAACGTTTTGAAGAACGCAACCCGCTTGTGCATCTCTTGACATGAAATGTTTATCATAATATTTTGAAAATCTAAATATGAATCACTGGTCAACCCTTGACCTCCATTTCACATTCATTTGTTTTGTACACAGGAGCAACTGATTCTGCTAACTATTTTTTATCTCTGGTAATGGTGATTTGCATACTTTCTCAAACTAAATATTATATTTTTCAAGATGGCTATTAAGTTTTCCCATTTTCTTGTCATTTAATATTACACACCTGGACATTTATATTGCTAATTTTCTGTTTCCTTTGTTTCATATCTCCATATGTGTATAATAGCTGTAGCATCCCTCAGGATTTCCATACATTTCTACTTTTCATGCAAGTTAGATAGCAAAAACAATAGACCGGGCACTAGCAAATGTCTCAAGCACTGGTTATGTAACGAGAACTACTGTACTGTATTTAATGAATGCTTTGACAGCCAAAATTGCAGACTGAACTCTAGCAAATGTTTCAATAGCTAATGCTAAATATTTACAGTAAGTAAACACCTGTACTGTACAATATTGCCCCAAATGACAAAACATATTTCATTACTTTTCTTGAATATCATGCTTTTACCTTTCTCTATAATACAGATACAGGTACTGTATAGCAAGAACAATATATGGTAAATACAGTTTCAAGCATTTTTTCTCCACATTATTCCTTACCAAACCTCCGAACCATTTCTTGTCATATGCATAAAAGTGACTTCAATAATAGATAAGACCAAACTACCATTCAAGAATAAGTACTATAAAAAGGAATTCTTACCTGACAGAAAAAATATGGTCATCTAAGTTGACTATGTCTTTCATTTATTCTCTATATGACTCAAAATTATTCATTTTATTACTCTAGCCAATAGTAAATTCTCATTACATACAAGAATCACCAATTTCAGGTACATATTTATCACCACTGCTATCATTAACTGGCTCCACCATTTTGTCATAAAAAGCCAAAAATAATATTGCAAACAAGGCTTACACATGCTCATTATAACATGGAAAAATTAACAACTACTGTCTGGATGGATTGACATGTGCAAGGTATAACGGATAAGATGTCTGGTTGGCAAGGGACAATGGGTGGATGGAACATAAATATTGTAACGACAACATACTTGAACATCACAGAATGCCTCAGCAATGTATCCAGTAGGAGTTCTGAGCCAGGGAAAAATTGCGTGAGATGAACTTTTAAGATACCTCAGCACGATGTTGTGTGGATATTGTCGACATTATCAGTATGTCAGGGTAGTAACGGGGTTAATACATGGTGGGGTGGAAACGGGTTGTTACTGAAATGCATAAGGGAATATTCCAAATGTACCAACCTGGTTTAAATAAGAGAAAAGACATATAAAATTATTAAGTGTCTGCTGTGGGTTATGTAACAACTGAGCATACATACAGTAGACCCATGACATCTCTTGGGTATCACTTGACATGTGCCAATGTCAACCAGCGTGAGATGAATGTGGGAACCATCATAAAGAAAGAGCAGAAAGCATAGTGCATCATCTTAACTAAGTAAAAACCGGAGTTAATTATCATTGATTCGTTTGTTAGTCGGTCCTCATATTAACGTTGTTTTCATGATAATGGAAAAAAATTTCATCAGTCTCAAACTGACACAAACAATGACTGTTAAAAAATGGTCATAGAAATTGACTAATATTCCTTGTAAGTATTAACTACACTCAGTTGCTAATTTGGTTTGTAGCAAAATTTTGTGGAATTACACATTTGTAGATATTTCACTGAAATTCCTTCAAAGGAATATAGGACAGGCAGATGGATGCAATAATGATCCCTGCATTTAGGAAATAACGTAAATCATTTCAACATAATTCCCTACCCAATTAAGCATCCTATAGCTAGAAAATTACTAAAATTATTATACTGTATGAAGTACCTACGGTGTACCATAGCTATATATCCTCTCTTCTATTTGTGCAGGAAAACACATATACAGTGCATTAAACACTGCTAGAATTAAGGCCATAAAAATGCCAACTCAAAGTTGAGCAAAAACAGAACCAAATTGCAATGACAAAAATAAACGAAAATCAATTTATTGTTAATAAGGCAAAACTTCAGTTTGCCAGGAAAAGTAGTTCTTATGTCTTCATTTTCTAGGTCAATTTAATATATACAGTATATATCCTGTATATATATATGTACAGGGGTATACTTTTTCTGTGAGTTGGAACCAATCACCCAATATCCCATTGAAATAATAGATTCAGTTAACAAAATTTTTGATTAACAACCGACTCTGTGGAACCAATTGTGTTCATTAATCGAGGGACCACTGTGTATGTATGTATGTATGTATGTATGTATGTGTGTGTATGTGTATATATATATATATATATATATATATATATATATATATATATATATATATATATATATATATATATATATATATATATATATATATATATATATATATATATCATGTAGATCCACAATGAAAACGTGGATAAGATAAATCTTGATAAAATCACACGGGGAAAACGGAAACAAAGGAGCACCTTAGCTTTCGTCTTTATTCAAGACATCTTCAGAGGCAACTGAATTACATGGACAGAGAGAGACTTGAATATATAGGGTGACCTTATTAAACATGAGGTCAGGTCATAATCATGACATCCACTAATCCCCACACCAACACACACGTAGAGGAGCTCAAGAGAAAGGCGACGTGACTAGTCAAGTTAAGTCAGGTCAAAAATATAGGACCCACTAAATATCTATCCTACATCTAACTCCAAGGTTTTCAAAGCATTTTTAACCTTGGGCCACTGACAAATAAATTTCTGTAACATATTATCAGTTTTGTACTGACCATCACTAAGGTTTATGGAATTTAATTCCCTAATCAAACTAGCTTCAACCAGGAGTCTTTCTGTGTCACATGATGATTTGTACACTTCTAAGCTTCTTCCCCAATCAATGGGATGATTATTATTCCTAACATGAATGAACAGTGCACTGCTTTTAGATGCTGTTCTGATATTGTACTTATGCTGTTTGATTCTGAGTTGCAATGCTTTCCCAGTCTGTCCTAAATAATTTCCATTACATTTGCTACATGGAATACAATAAACACTTCCATTTACATTCAAAGTTGGGCTATTCTTGATTAATATATTGGTAATGGTTGAGTCATACTTAAAAACAACATTAACCTTTAATAATTTAAGGGACTGAACTAACGGGACAAATTCATTGCGATAAGGCGGTGTCAAAATGTTCTTAAGTGTAGGAATTTGCCTGATTTGAGTAAAATGAAAGGATTTTTTAGCCCTTTAAAACAATGATCAACAAACACTGAAGGGTACCCAAGTTTTTGTGCAATGGAACGAATGTGTTTCAATTCTTCATCATTAAATTCAGCGTCACAAATAAGCAAACATCTCAAAAACATAGCAGAAAAAACTGACATTTTGGTAGACTCCAGGTGACTCAATAAAAAATGTATGAAATTGTCTACCTGTGTAGGCTTTCTGTACATCTTAAATTTATAGTTATGGCCATTTCTAATGATAAGCATACCAAGGAATGGAAGGGATCCATTTATTTCTTTTTCAATTTTGAATGTAATACTTGGAACAAGATCATTAAGCTTGTCTAAAAATTCCAGTGGGTCACTGTTTCTAGGCCAATGACAAAGAACATCATCTACATATCTATACCATGGAGGAATAAAGTCTAGCCTCAAAAAAACTCCATATAAATACAGGCTAAAGGAGCAGAAAGACAATTACCCATGCTCATGCCAAATCTTTGCTTGTAAAACTTCCGATTCGCTCTAAACACATTGTCAGAGAAATAAATGGATCCCTTCCATTCCTTGGTATGCTTATCATTAGAAATGGCCAAAACTATAAATTTAAGATGTACAAAAAGCCTACACAGGTAGACAATTTCATACATTTTTTATTGAGTCACCTGGAGTCTACCAAAATGTCAGTTTTTTCCGCTATGTTTTTGAGATGTTTGCGTATTTGTGATGCTGAATTTATTGATGAAGAATTGAAACACATTCGTTCCATTGCACAAAAACTTGGGTACCCTTCAGTGTTTGTTGATCATTATTTTAAAGGGCTAAAAAATCCTTTCATTCTACTCAAATCAGGTAAATTCCTACACTTAAGAACATTTTGACACCGCCTTATCGCAATGAATTTGTCCCGTTAGTTCAGTCCCTTAAATTATTAAAGGTTAATGTTGTTTTTAAGTATGACTCAACCATTACCAATATATTAATCAAGAATAGCCCAACTTTGAATGTAAATGGAAGTGTTTATTGTATTCCATGTAGCAAATGTAATGGAAATTATTTAGGACAGACTGGGAAAGCATTGCAACTCAGAATCAAACAGCATAAGTACAATATCAGAACAGCATCTAAAAGCAGTGCACTGTTCATTCATGTTAGGAATAATAATCATCCCATTGATTGGGGAAGAAGCTTAGAAGTGTACAAATCATCATGTGACACAGAAAGACTCCTGGTTGAAGCTAGTTTGATTAGGGAATTAAATTCCATAAACCTTAGTGATGGTCAGTACAAAACTGATAACATGTTACATAAATTTATTTGTCAGTGGCCCAAGGTTAAAAATGCTTTGAAAACCTTGGAGTTAGATGTAGGATAGATATTTAGTGGGTCCCATATTTTTGACCTGACTTAACTTGACTAGTCACGTCGCCTTTCTCTTGAGCTCCTCTAAATGTGTGTTGGTGTGGGGATTAGTGGATGTCATGATTATGACCTGACCTCATGTTTAATAAGGTCACCCTGTATATTCAAGTCTCTCTCTGTCCATGTAGTTCAGTTGCCTCTGAAGATGTCTTGAATAAAGACAAAAGCTAAGGTGCTCCATGGTTTCTTTTTCCTTGTGAATTATATATATATATATATATATATATATATATATATATATATATATATATATATATATATATATATATATATATATATATATATATATATATATATATATATATATATATATATATAAATTTTATATATAGCTAGCATATGCATACTACTGTGAATGATCCTGAAGAGTCAACTATATTTCAATCTAATTGTTTATTATGTAAAACTCATCCTGTACTCAGAGCAGACTGGTAAATGCAGAATCTTCCCCCCAAACACTTCAGTTATAGACAATCTTTATATCTTTAGGTATCAAACACCCAAAAGATTTTCTTTTCTTTCCACTCTTACAAACTTTTTTCCTGTTTGGTAAAGGGGATGGCATCAAGAGCAATAGGTATTCTCCCCCATTCAATGCCAATCATTCTGTCTAGCTGAATACTGTGTTCTGCTATGGTGTCCCTTTCCATAACAAGGCCTCAAGATATCCATCTGATTGACAGAAGTCTTTATGCATCACCCCTCAATACTAGTGCAATATTCATTCCCAACACCATGCCATCAAATGTACTGTTACTCCCTGGATGTCCACCCACCCCTTTCCATAGTACCTCTGTCACTGAAATGTTTGCTGAAATATTCTGCATGCTGCTTTGGGTTACATAAGTGATGATACTGCCACTTGCTTGCATGTAGAAATAAAAGCATGTAAAAAGAATAATGACTACTATGTCTAACACAGAGAAATGAAGGTGAGGGAAAGCCAAATTAAGATGAATATGTGAAAGATATGAAAAATGGCAAACTACAAATCCCATTCACTCAAATAAAAATATATAATTTTTTTGGAGAAAATGAACAGACCCCTATGTGTTGTTGCAATAAAAATGTTCCCCAATAAATAACTACAGTATCTATAAGCAGTGGTGGACAGGAACGAAAGGTCAATACAGTACTTAAATTATTTACACAATGAACTTTTCAGGACATCCTTTTCTTCGATACTTTTAGTTAGTAGTTTTTTTAAAATTTTCACTTGAATGACTTCGAATTTTAGTGCCGTTCCTCATTACCATGAGAAACTATATACATATTTTAACTCCAGACTGAGAAAATTCATAAAATTTTGATATCCCTCACTAAAGAGGTTCTCTCTGTGCCTAAACACTTTGTTGCCAGTTTCAGCAGCCTGTGACACCAAAACAATAATCGAGAGACAGGGAAAGCGTCCAAACCAGGCCAGTGAGGAACAAGGCACTCAAACGATTCTTAATCTCCAACCTCCCTCTCCCCATTAATCACTAGTTATGTACAGTAGTTAGAACTATCACAGGCCTTAAGCTCCACCCACTCTCAGTAAACATTCAGTTGACAACTTTAAAGTACTTTGTCTACCCGTCTAAAAGAGAGTGAGATTCATTCTTTATAATTCCTCAGCAGTAATGTCTCCAAGGAAAGCAGCAGCAAAGGAACTACTTCTTGCACAATTGTTAAAAATAAATTGGTAATGCACACACAACAGAGACTTTTAATTCTACTTCCTGGGTATCAGAGACTCAGGTAATCTGGAGCTTGATAAACTGATTCAAGGCATTGTATATGTGTACATGCATATCTCTGCATGTCTGCACGTAGATATGGCTGTGTTTATTTGTATGCCTGAAGTCATAAACACACACACACTGCACCTGCACACCTCAACAAATAACTTTTAAGCTGACACATATCACATATCACTGGTGATTGCCCATTAAGCACAGGCTGTCATCTGGTGACCTTACAGCAAGGTGCGTTTTCATTAAAATTGTTCAGCATGAATTTACACTAGTTAACTAGAGCAGCACAATTTATACATTGCTATCTATTTCATATTCTAGAAGCATAGAAATAAAAAGATAGTTATATACTACAGCAGTTCACAACATATGGTGGTGGTACAGTAGAACTGACAAAACCCAGACAAACAATGAGGTACTTTATACACTGGAATTGTAACATCCAGATATCTTTTAAAAATGCAGTGCAAATGGACTTTGATTGTAATGAATCTTAAGGGTTCTACTGTATACCTAGGTCTACTGTATACCCAGGTCTACTGAAGATCAAGACAAAAAAAAAAAAATAAAGACTTACTGAGTTTGCACATTCAGGTCGCAATTTTCTGAATAGCTGATCCACGAAGCCTCGTCTGCGGATGAAGACAAACAAGAGAAAATTTTTAAAAGAGTGATGGTTAACATTTCGGTTCAACAGTATTATTATATATTTCCAAAACTAATATACTGCACTGAAATGCAATGTACTGTACCGTACTCTCATCACAACTTATGAGATTACAGTTGACAGTAACCCCATAAAACTGGTAATGCTTAAAAAAAATAGTGGTATGTTCAATATACTGTAGACTGCCTCCATGCCATACACCAATATATATAAACACACTGTATCTTTAAAACAATTAAATACTTAATTTTGATGCAATTTTAAATTCTCTGACACAAAGCACTTACTTTGCAGTTAGGCCACCTCCTGGGGGAAGGTTGGGGATACTTTCATCAGCAAGGACTTGCATTATCTGTGCCATGCTAACTGGTTCCTCCTGTTCGCACACCTCTGAAACATAACTGTCTGGTTAACCACCTAGTTTCTGCACTTACCACATGGCCTAGCACATTACTACCTACTGCTGTTTTGACAATTCCCATCTCTATATAACAATATCTTACTTCAAGTTCTTAAGTCAAGATCATCATCAAATTATGACTACTCCAATCCATATTTTGTATATTTATAGCAACACTTTAAGTTCTTCCAACCTTGCAACTTTAACCCACCATACTGGAGTACCCTGTATGTCTTTTAAATTTACTTGTTATTCCTAATTAAAACATGTCTTTGTAAAGTATGCTTTTACTTGGTCCATTTTCCAATATACTGTATACACCACATTTGAGAAATGTCTTAGAGCAATCAAATCAGGATAAACAACACCTAAAGGCTATCTCGTTTCCTAATATTTTATAATTTAGCGATAAATGATACTTGTGATCAGCTTATTGCCCAGAGCTCTCTTTGTTGTGTTAGTTTTCATTCCATTACTTTAACTGGAAATTTTATATACATGTGTAAAGCAGAACAAGGCATAAAAGGGTAATTTTAGGATTTATAGCTCAAAAGTTTTAAAAAGACACGAAGGCACAAAAACAGAAATACAGGTACAGTAGTACAGTATTTGAATTTATTGTTGAGAAGCTTTTAGAAGAAACTACAGTACGGTTTTACAAAGGAGACAAGAAAGGAAAATGCAATGGTTAACATATAAGTGATGTAAATAAAAACTTCCCAGGCATGCAGGATGTTCAAGTGCCAACACTCACACATGATTGAGCAGACCAGCTCAACCATCACTGGGGAGTTCACATATGAGGGCCTGGGTTGCAAGGGATTAAGGAGTAGCAGCTGCCACCAATACAAAACAATGACCATTAGTGGTGAGCTGTGTAAACCAAAGTCAAGATATAACCCAGGTATACTGGACAACTCACAAACTGATGACTTATTATTATCATGGCAACTCACCATACAATTTGCATCCAAGTCCCTAAGCAAAGCTGGGAGGACAAACAAAAGCAACTAATGGAAAGGAGCTTGCTTAGAGTTCTCCCTGCCTGGAAATTGAAATTATGTCCTTTGGCTTGCCAAGCATGGTAACCATTACACCACACGTTGGCAGCTCATTAGCATACTGACAAGAGTAAATGCAGATTCTCCAACTGTCTTCATTTCAAGATTACTTCTAAGGAGTTCTCCCCAATAATACATATTCCATCTAAATTATAGCTTACAGCAGTTAAACATTTGCATCAACAGACACAGACATCTGATGATACACAAATTTGAACAATATGCAGAGTATAGTCAAGCTGGCATGACTATGGTGGATTGAATTGACTAATATAATGCAATACAATTAGGATGGAATGTTTGTTCCAGCTGACTGGCTGAACAGTGTGAGCATCAATATTTACAAGAGTAAAGGTGATGCACTTGAATGCAGGAACTACAGGGGCCTAAGCTGTTAGATTAGGTAAATAAAGTTATGGAAGGTGATCAAGAAATTGATAAGGGAGAGTTTACTTTAAAGAAATGCAGTTTAGGTTCATACCAGGCAGGGGTACAACTGAGGCAATATTTATGACCAGGCAACTACAAGTGAAATATCAGGGAAAGAGAAGTTGTATTTAATAGATGGAGACTTAGAAGACATTTGGCATGGTACCACATTAGGTAGTGCAGTGAGCAACGAGGGTTAGTTAAGGGTCAAGAAGGGTCTTGCTTGAGTGGTTATGGTATTATATGTCAACTGAAGAACCCCAATGAAATCAATGGTGAGGAAAATGAGGTGAAATTTGGAGCTCATCGAAGTTCTGTCTTGAGCCCCCTTTTGTTTATCATGATGTTAGAGGCACCCTGTACTTGTGAATGAGGGTGATGAAGGATGCTCATACCATGCCTTAGTCTGTATTATAGCCAGACTGAAAGGTACACTCTGTTGGTTCAGGTAGTCCATCCAAAGTTAAAGAAAACATTCCATATTCTCCATTGCTTGACTTTGGGACCTGCTAATTTTCTTGGCTTTGATTTTCTCAGCATTACTCTGCATAGATCTTACCATGGTAGGAAGCAAGCCTAGAGTGACACCAACGTGAATAACTCACTCCAGTCAGGTACTGAAGAAAATTATTTTCCTGGTTTTCTTTGTGCTTGGCACTGCAATGTCACTTTGCTGGGTGTTTTGGAAGCATGATGTTCAGGTAAATTGACCAAAAAGCACAAAATCATGCAAATTTATGCGAATTACAAATGTGCACAATGTAGCAACCACACTGAAGTGGGAACACTCCTTGGATTCTCCAAAACACAAAGTAATTATGCAGTAGCAGGTGTCAGCCAAGAACACTATAATGAAACACAGGTACTAAATAGATACCTTCCCTAATTCAATAGCGACTAATAATGAAACAACAGTAAACAAGGCGATGATAAGTGAAAACCCTGTATATACAGTATATACAAGTGATCGCGGGCACACCATTGCCCAGAGAAAGTTGGCTCATTGCTGCTAGCGTGCAACAAATGAGGTCGCCAAGTCCGCAAACTTGCATGGTTAATTAGGGTGCTCCAAGTCTGTAGACTTGCATCATTTTCCATCGTAAATAAAATGGTTAATTAATGCCTTCCTAAAAAACCATCGACATGGGACCAGGTTTGTTCCACTCTACGAATTTTTTTGCAATTTTTCCACCAAGTTTGATGAAAAACGATTGTGCCGTTCTTTGCCCAGAACAGACAGACAGACAGACACATGTCTAGCCCTATACAGTTTTAGTCCAAAAATCCGGACTGCTTGGGGATTGGGTGGTCTCGGATTTTCCGAACTCTCAGGCAGTACTTTTAAAATTCAAATTTAAGGAGGAATAAAGAAGAGATGAACAGGTACATTTTGATAGTTTATTCATGCAAATATAGCATGCTTCATTTATCAAAACGAGCAGTTTTAATGAAAAGTTGTAATTCTGAATTTTATTCTTTGCCTTTTTTATATCATAAATTGTAGACTTTCAATGCGTGTGTTTTTCCATTAGAAAGTATTGCTCACACCACGTTCTAGTTTCTTAATTATTTCAAGTTTGTCACCCAATTTCAACGTGTATTCTTCACACAACGTTTATCTACTTTAGGAGCCATTATTATAGGCATGTACAGTACTCTGTAAATGGAAAGAGTAGGACTCAAAATATTGTTATATTACAATGGTATTCTATTCATACTGTGCTTGATATAATGCATTCACGAAATGTAATATTTTTAGGAAATGACGTAAGTATTACAGTGGAAAGTGAGATGTAATTTAAGATAATGACTTTCGCTTTCTTCTCAAAGATGCTACCAATCGCCAATGGTTTTGTTAAAACTGTTGTATTACAATAATATTCTATCCTAATTGACTTGAATACTACAATACCATATTTCTGAATATTTTCATTAAAATCCATCAAAATCATTTCTTGTCATCATCTGCAGCACCAAACAGCTTCTCCCAGTCCTCTTCCTTGAACAGGGCTAGAGGGCACGGTTTTCGAATCGTTATCAGTTAAAAACCATTACATCACACGATATTTTACCTAAACTGCTTGAATGAATATATTCTCGAAATAAATGGTAGTTTTGCTGAAATGTGATGTATTTCAATGTAAAATAGGATAAAATACATGACGAAAACAAAAGACTTTACCTAAGCTTCCGATGTTCTTGAGATATTACCGCTTTTTTAATGTTTTCGTTAAAATTTGTTATATTACAATGATATTCTATTCATACTGTGCTTGATATAATACATTCAGGAAATGTAATATTTTTGCTGAAATTACGCACGAATTACAGTGGAAAGTGGATAAATCTATTTAAAACAATGACTTTCGCTTTTCGTTCAATAGATGTTACCGAATCGTTAATGGTTTAGTTATAAAACTGTTATATTAAAATAATTATTCCTAATTGACTTGAATAAATACTTGAATGGAATTATACAATATTTTTTTGAAACTACCCGTTTCAGTGTAAAGTGTCGAATAATAAATGGTAAACAATTTGCTTCGCACTTCGGTGTTTCAGGCAGAGAGCCTCAGTTTATAGGACGAGTGTGTTTTACTGAAGGTTTTGTTGTTCCATTACCCTCAAAACGGGTCAAACTATACACGAGGAATATCATAAATTAACGATTTCTTGGTCAAAAAATCAGGTTCGACCTATAAACGAGGAGGCTACGTATCACGTGTATGTTGTCACAGTTTGATTGCTCGTTTTAAAGTGGCGACTAATGGTCGCTTGTTGTCGCAGTAGCTGTGGCAACACGACAAGACATACACACAGTTTTCGAAAAGTCCGGTTTCAGGTGGTCCGGATTTCTGGCATCCGGATTTTTGACTTTTACTGTAGCATATTAGATTCCTTCTTAATTGGTCTCTTACACATTACACACTCAATTCTACCAATTTTTTTTTCCATATGTAACTCTTAACTTCTGCTTTTCCATTACAGTTCATATGAAATGTCTGCCAACAACCAAACTAAAAATCTCAACACCATTAATAAAACGTTGAAATGAACCCTCACTCAAACATCAGAAAATTTAATACCGCAGTCTTATAATCTCCCCTACAACCTCTGCCTGCAATATATAACACAATACCTGTATATACAAACCATTATTCCTTGATTATCATTTGCTCAAGGTAACGAGCAAGCACTGTTTTCTAAGTGTGAATTTTGTCAGAGTTTATCTGTACATTAACAATAATAGTGACACGGACAATCTTGATGCATCCAAACGTAAATCCAAACCACAAACTCATAAAAACATTTGGTTTCAAACAAGCACTACATGCCTCTATAGGAGCTATTTACAGCATTTAACATGCAAGTCACAAGACCCAAGATCCACCAAACTCCAGCTCTACTATCAAACACTTTCTATAAATTCATATACTGTACTGTACATACTATTTATTTTCAAGCCTACAACCTTTCCCTGCTATAATGCAGGGTGGGGATCCCAGATTCCTAGCATTCAGCAGCTAGTGGGTTATCCTACTCCCTTGGCAGGAAGCTAGTTCTACCATCAGCAAGTACACCCAATAGTGTACTTGTTTATTGCTGTGTTGGCTGTACCCATTCCTCTGTTATGACTGGGACTTTAACCTATAGCCATATACAGAATATACTGAATATTGTACTATTTCTTGTATACCAGTATATAACAGAACCATCCTGAATATAAGAGCCTGATCTACACTGTAATTATCTAATCTCCATAGCTTTGTTTATTACTAACAATTACCAGTTTATGGTCTATACAATCAACTACAGTGCACCCTCGCTTTCTGGCGGTTTCACTTTACGCGTTTCTACATTTATCTGGTACCCTGCCAGAACCGGAATTCCCACTACTGGTGCATCTACTCATATCTGCGGGTGAAGTATAATTTTTTATTTAGCTCATAAAATTCATACAAATTATCAGAGAATATAATTTACATTGCTGGAATTCTTAATTTGATGATCATTTTGAATATAAGCATCATAGATTTTGCATTAACATACAAATTTAGATCTAATGCAAGTATTTTTTTACTCAGAGCAAATATGTTTTCTTTTGTGCAAAATATATGAAGTGTATATTCAAAATATTCTGGTGCAGAATGATTTATATTTCTATTTGTCTGAGGTTTATTTTCTAAAGATTCTGGTTTCTCATTTCTCTGGTAGGAGGTTGGTGGGGAGGAGGACGACCACCATCTGGCGTTGGAAAGGCAAGGTGGGGTACTTTGATTGACAGATAGTGTTGTGAAGAATATATTTTTTTTTTATTAACTGAAGATATTTGTTTTAGCTCATAAAATTCATACAAATTACCCGGCCAGAATATAATTTACATTGCTGGAATTCTTACAATTTGATGATCATTTTGAATATAAACATCATAGATTTTGCATTAGACATACAAATTTTAGATCTAATGTAAGTATTTTGTTTACTCTGAGTAAATATGTTATCTTTTGTGCAAAATATATGACATTTATATTCAAAATATTCCTGGTCTTACAAGGAATCCAGCAATGTCAATTATATTATCCTAACTTTAGTTTGAGGTATTATTTATTACTATACCTTAAAATCTAGTGGTTTTCCCCCCAAACATTTCTCAGAGAGGGAAGAGCCAGGAGTGTGAGAAGAGGGGGAGGGAGTTGAGTCCATTATTTGAATGGACATTAACTTGGCGACTGTATTTCTCTATTTCTCTTAAGTATTAATTGTGTGCATGTACCATCATAAAATTAAGATGTTATTTTTACTAGAACATAGGTATTGTGTCGGAAAAAGTGGAGTTTAGGGGTCAGCCGGTCTCTATTTCATTTAATCCCATATGTTATGTTGTTCACTTTACGCGTTTCTCGCTTTACGCGGGCCTCCGTGGGTTCAATTGACCGCGTAAAGTGAGGGTTCACTGTACAATACCTCTTCCTAACAAAACTCACATTATTTATGCTAAGGATAAAGCCCAAGCTATGTTTCTTCTGTTAAATTTACTTACCATTATTACGAGAGAAAAATTATTATTGCCATTCAAACATGTTATATAATCAAAGTATCATGAAGCTATACAAATGTCTACATCCATTCAACTGCATGTCATCTCAACTTTTAACTGTGCCACTCATCAACAGGTTTCCTACCTTATAATTTACCATTTTCCAGGTACAGTACAGGACATTTTATTTCACTATTCTTATCTCATTAAATCTAATGCATCAACATGCACTAATATTATTCTAATATTCATTATATCCATAACAAAATTCCACTAAACTCTAACATCAACATTCAACTCTTATAATCTAACATACATTCATAAATATTTCCCTTTAATGTTTATCAACTTTCTGAGCAGATTTTCCAGGTCGCAAATAAAATCGACTTCAAGCTATATTTACCATTCGGGTTGGAGCCCTAAAGGAATTGACCCCATTCCTTACAATAAGGTTACCTTCAGGCTCCACTTAACCACTCTTAGACTATTCTCCTTTCACTCAGTCTTCATTTTGTATTTAATTTACACCTAGTGATACACACATGTTCACTCAAGGTCTTTAAGGCTTTACTCACTTAATATCCAATTCTTAAAATACAAAATGGTATTCAAATTGTCTTCTCATAATAGTGTATCTTTTTATCCATCACTCATCATATCGTTGTCTTACACTATCCAATACATCTAAGGATAGTCTCGTAAAGTTCATTCTCCAAAATCATCTTAAAACCACTTAATTCATCCCTGTAAATTTACAAGGAAATCACTAAACTACTCATTTACACTAACCTCCACCTGGTTCACAATCTGGTCTTCACTTCTCAACTTCCACTCCCCTTTCTTACTTTTATAATTTTCTTTCACTAACTTAAAAAACTTTCTCATATTTGTTTAGCAACTTTAAAATCACTTTAACACACATACAATATTGTTAGTGACCAGACAAAGCTTTTTATCTTAAACCATCACAAGGAAATATGACTAGTCTCACTCTGTCATAATGTACTGATGCATATCATCTTCGTACCCAAGCCAAGCCATCAGTGTATACTTAAGGATGGAAATCATTATTAATACCACAAGAAATCTGACTTCCATACTCATTAACAAATTCCATTGTAGTAATGAACTGAAATACTTGCAAAGTTAGTTTCTTATTTTCAATTTTAAAGTACTGTACTGCACTAAAAAAAAAATACAATAAGCATTACTAACTTACCCGTTACTTTCTTCTCTATGAGTTCTTCCAATTCTTTCTCTTTCTTAATAGCCTCTTGTGATACCTTGGGTGCCCCGGGGAAAGTTAGCAACACTAAACTCATGTTGTCACGACTTCCCTACAAAAAATAAAAAAAAAAAGAGGGAAAGTTATACTGTACTAAGGATGGTAACATTTCTTTATTTTTGTCCACCTATGAATCTAATACCATCGGGGGAAATCTAAGGTAGTACAGTATTCAAACTGCTTCCCAATGTTTACTTTCCTTAATGAATAATTGTCATACAGTATAAGTGTTTAGTGAGTCAGCATGCCATTCCATTAACCCCTTATTTAATTTAGGAAGTAAAATTCTCAACTAAAGGGAACTGTGTAAGATAAGGGTTACCCATCATGCATCTGTGTCAGAGATATGTTTGTGATACTAACCATCAATAAAAAAAACAAACTCCCAAACATTCTTCAAGCCTGTAAAATTCTAGAAAAATCTATTAATTTTCTTTGTTATTCATGATTTCCAACTAACACTGCAAATACCTTATCTAATAGGGGATCCTTACCCTTCACAGCCTTCTCATTTAGTTTTAAAGTTAGAAAGAAATACTAGATGGTAGGGGTAATTAGGGCACAAACAATGCTACTAGTTTATGATCCTCAATAGTGTTGTTTATTTATTAGATGTAGAATACAAAAAAAAATTAATGATACATGTACACACAAACACATGTACTGTAACCTTTGATATAATTTTTAATTGGTTGAAAAATAGACTAATGAGCTTGAAAAGCATTTCACTAATTAGCTGAATTTAGCAGCATTTTAACTCTACAGTACTTTAGATATTATTTGCATATATTACAGTCCAAAGCAAGGAATGAGCACTGGAGATAAAGAAAAACAAAATGTTAGTACAAGAGAAATCTAATGTGATTGCAATGAATGGAAAATTGCTGCAGTTCTGAAGGTGACTTGGAATATGAACTTTGCTTGAATGCAGAAAACCTGGAAACTATTTCCAACACAACAGAAAAGCATATGCAGAATATTTCAAACATGTCTAGGCACTGAACAATATTAAAACCCAATACTTAGTACTCAAGAGTTTTTCCTACAAAAAATAAAAAAGGCAAAATGGGAAGCACTAATAGAAAGAATAATGGGAAGCTGCAAAGGTTAATGACAACTGTGGAGTTTGAGAATGTACGAGTCAAACTCCAAAATGTAATGCACACTGTCAGATATATGAGACTTCTAAATGGAACTGAAGTGTTAATGTTCGAAGATAAAAACCACGACTTAAATAAATGTATGTTTGATCCTGTAAATTGTTTGTAAGATCCTTAAACAAGTGAAGATGATCACTGGCTGAACTGTGTAGAGAAGATTCTACTTGTGGTAATGCCCCCCCCGCCCCCCCCCCCAAGAAAGGCAGTTCCCACAAAGCACAATAATTATGTACAGAAAAAAAATCTGTAAAACTCATTATACATTAAATGCATAAATTATAGAATCAAGATTTATGTACCTGTTTCCCAGTACATGCTATCTCTCTTGTTACCTTTGAATCTTAACTTTAAAAGATTTGAATTAATTAGCAATTATCAATGAGAACTATAGTATCCAATGATAATTCTACTTCAGAATGCCCTGTTCATACCTTGTGAAGACAGGTGTCAACAACATGGTTAGAAATGGATTCATGGTCTTCGGAAAGTAGAAGGCGCGACCGAACAAAAGCACACAAGTCTTCATTGGTCATGACATCCCAGATTCCATCACAGGCCAGCACCAGAAATTCATCTTCATCCTGGCGACGTTCTACATATATTTCAGGTTCCGGCGACACCAGCTGCTCGCATGGACCTTTACCCTCAACATTCTGCAATACAAATTAAATTCATCAAGCCATCTCTAATATTAACCATGCATTAAAGAGACAAGACATACAATTCAAGTTTGTAAATGGAAACACCAAACACAATTTATGCAAAAAACTATTACAATATTGTAGCATTCAAATGCTACAATAAGGAAGAATCACACCATTTCACTTTGGCAGTGACTTATTAGACAGCAAAAATCATTGTCGTAGAACCATCTTGGTAAATGCAACTTTCCCATTCATATATCTACTGTAAGACAAGAGAGATTACAAGAGACCATGCAGCATGGAGAACTGCCATCAGGTAATCAAGGCCAATCCATGAAAGCATGGAAAATGGCCATAAAACATTGATGATGATGGAGATGATTTGTATCAAATCATTAAAATGAGTTGTGATGCTAAGCTTGGAGATGCCACGTGAGTTCCATTATATACAGAATCACTGATACAGAAAGATATGTAAGATTAGACAAATATATACAATACTTCTAAAGCCTGAATAAATACCAGTACAGTACAGTATTTCAAATTACTGTATATATGACAATACTAAAATTGTAAATTTACACATGATAAAAAAACTTACTTTGTACTCGTAATCTCCAAGTGCTCGAGAGACGGCAAGGGATCCATTCACTCTTTGGATCATGACTGATCCTCCTGCATTCTGGATCCTTTCCTTCTCTATAGGGTTTACAGGTTTGTGGTCTTGAGTGCTAAAGCCAATGTTACCCGCACGATACAGAACTCCCCGGGAGTCTCCACAATTGGCCACAAAAATGTGTGTAGGTGATATAAGTGCACATACTGCTGTAGTACCACTCTTGTCTTCACCACTGACAACCTATTTACACATTATGTACATATTAGAAAAGAAAATCCATATACAGTATAGGGTAACTGTATATTGCATAAGTCCTAGAAAATTCAGGCAGTAATGTGACAGTTGCAACCGTACTAACTTTTTATCATTTTTTTCATCATCCTCAATCTTACATTCCTCTTCCATGCATTTGTATTACCTCAAATTATGGAGACTATTACTGTACTGTATATTCTATCATGCCCTTTCCCACTATACTGCAGGGTAGCTGAAAACAGCAAGTACAGTACACACACACATATCCCCTCCCCCTGCCATTCACTCCTTCATACTGTTATAATACACTAACCCGATGAGCAGATTAGTGTCACAAATAAAATACACCTAAATCAGGAAACCTCAGCTAACTTATTTTATTGGGTAAACTAAATCATATTGTTAAATATTAATACTGTACACAAAAACAGATGTTTAAATTACTACTTCAATAAATTGTGCACCAACTTTGTAGGCGGCAGTATACTGTATTCAATACAGTATATGAAATTCACCATAATTTGGAATTCACTTTATTTTGGCAAGGGCCGACCTCATTATTCCAAATTATGGAGGTTTTACTGTACACTATATAAAAGATAGCCCAGGTTAGTGAAAGACATTGAAAAAAGATTAACCAAGGTAACATTAAAGACATACAGTACTTTGCTAAACAGCAATGACACTTATTTTGGCTGGGAAGAGTGCTCAATATTGCCCCCCCCCCCCAGGTTTTTTTTCTTACTGTATTTTGTAAGTGTCATGAGTAGCCTACTTATTTTCTGACAGTTAAGTCAATAAGCCCCAGTACACAAAATGAATGACGAGTCTGAACAAGTACTAACCTCAGGCATTAGTCGCATGGATTCATCTAACCTTAAGAAACCAGCATGAATGCCCTTCTTTATTTTGTTTATAGTTTTTTCTTCGGTTTCTGTTTCGAAATCAGCTATAGATGATGCCTGTAAAAAGGGAAAGACAAATAATGATCAATGAATCAATCAGTTACATCCTAAATTTAATGAGACAGAACCAATTAAAAAAGTACCTATATACAGTACTGTACACAAAAGATGTCATGGTACTGTGTCATTTCCCTCTTGTTAAATAAAGTACAGAACAGTATTCCCCATCTTTTCTTTGGGGGTAAGTAAGTATTTATGATTAAAAGTATTATATAATTATGGATTAAATTAGAGGAAAACATGCTCCTTACCTGAAATTCCTCTCCTGATGTGATTGAGTTCAACAGATGTTCAGAACAATGGGCGGATATTTTGGCACCAGCATGGCCATCAAACACTGCGAAGAATGCCCAATCCTGAAATAGAATGCATATTGTATATATTATTTCATGATGCAGAGTATAACCCCCATAATTCAGAATTATTGGGGCTATACCTCTGCCCAAATAAAACTAATTCCAAATTATGATCAATTATAGTTGCCAACAAAGTAGACAGACTTGCTGTTGTTGCAATTTTATCAAAGGTTATTGTACATATAGTAGAGGGTGTCTCAGAAAAATTTAGATATACTGTACAATAAACCTTCGATAACTTGGCATTTGATAACTCGGCATGAATATGGTCTCGGAATGTACAGTATTAGTATAACTCGGGAAATGCCGTGATATATAAAATTGTCTCTGAACATCTCAACATATCTGACTACCTGCATCACCTACCATGCCTCTGTGTCACCCACCATGCTTCTGCATCACCTACCATACCTGTCACCTACCATGCATCTGTGTCACCTACCATACCTGTGTCACCTACCATGCATCTGTGTCACCTACCATGCTTCATTCTTTGCCCGCAGTGCTGGCAAGTGATAGTTTTTAACATTTATTAATTACATGTACACATATACGGGTTGCTAATTTTTTTATCGTTGAATTTTTGTAGGAGGGGGGAAAGTGCCCCCCAGGCCCCGTTGTGGGTCGTTTGACCTGTGCCCAGGTGAGCTCATTCCCGTAAAAAAAAAAAAGTCGAAATTCGGGATAACTCGGCAAGGCCAGAGCCCCATATGTTCCGAGTTATTGAGGGTTTACTGTACTGTAATGCCTTACAGATTTTTAGGAAGATCATGTGAATGCTTGTACAGTAAGACAACTCTAAGTTGGAATTCTGTAAGTAGGAAACCCTCATACGTTGGACAAGCTCTAGCTTAGGGGGGTTGTGTGGGGTGGCAGTTGGGAGAGCAGTCAGTTCCCACATGGTTGTTGTTGTGACCATTGCTCCACTGCAGTTGTTTGATTTTTATTTAGTGCTTCCCTCGTGTATTATAATGGCCTCTAAAGCCAGGAAAAGCAAAACAACACCACTGACGACCACTGGAAGGAAAGGAATAATGCTCAGAAATTCAGAACTATACCAATTGAAGAAAAGCAGAACATATGAGATCGAACTGATGCTGGGGTCTCCTTGAATGTTAACTGTGAGGAGTTTGGGCCAAAGTGAAGATAAATATACCCTGTAGTGTAATTAAATATAAGTGTGAATGCCTGTATACCATATGTAAGTGTAAGCAGCCCCCATTGTCCCCTACAATCAAAGTAAGTGCAATGTAAATGCATACTGTTAAGTTTAATGTTGTTTTTGGAAGAGATTTTTGATGTTTGAACTCACCTGAGGGGAAGGTTATGCATAATTCAGACAGCCTTGAGCCCCAAATAGTCCGACTTTGGGAGATCTTACTTTACAAGGGAGGACAATGTTGCTTTTGTAATACAAGCTTTCATGCAATCTCCAAGAAAATCTGTAAGGCAGTGTGTATACATCATTCTGAGACACCCTGAAGCTTTAGTATCTAACAACAATGATTTAGTTCAGCCAACTTGCAGCTTAGATGAGATTTCCAGGTTTTGTTGTAATTTTTCAACTGTTTTTGTACAGTACTGTAGAGTATATTGGTGTTCAACAACAAAGATATACAGATAGTTTAGCCAATAAGCTAGGCTTGGTGAAGTAATAGTTACCTTCCCTGCACAACTTAATCATGGCAGTTTGAGCTCTATGTAATAGAAAAAAAAATTATTTTCCAATGCTGTACTGTACAGTCTTATAAATTCAGCATTTGCAAATTTGGTCATATGTAAGGAGCCTTTTTCTAACATTTACAGTTGTGAGAAATAAATTTGGTTTTATACTTTTCCTTTCTACTTTTATCCTCTTTGCCACTGATTTGCTCGTTAGCCGCTTGGGCGGTCGGTCACATCTCTGTTACGCACTGTTGGCAATTACTGGCTCCTGAATATATCAAGAGCTTTTGGCACCAAGGAGTTTCAAAATGGGCCACTATGTATGAAGTTCAATATATTTTATTATTATATGATAAATATAAGGATATTTTTACAGTAAAAATATATTTACTTAAATTTTCTTCAATATTCTCAGTTTTAGATATGCTTTGTTTGATCTACAGACTTAGTACTGCATATAAAACTTCTAAAATTTCAGCAATGACATTCTCTCACATACGAACACCACTGCCTTTCACCACCACAGTTGTTATAATCACACAACTGTATACTGTACTGTACATATTTGTTCATAAAGGAAAAACACAAGTCTACATGTTTATTTTCCATGGTTATTCATATTTTTGTGTACGTACAGTATTTCAATATACAGTACTGTACAGTAATTATTAGGGTACACTGTATTACCAAAACCATTTAATAGGAAAATCTTTTAATGTGGAATGAATTCAATCCCAAGCCACTTCATAAAAACAGTATACAGTACTGTATTTTACTGCACTTATTTTATGGGTGGGTCAACTGGGGGCACCCCATTCCATGGCCCATACTAAAATAAAAAGCAGCGAGACATGGAAAAGTGTTTTACAGTTATGCCTGTACCGTGTCCTCCTCATCTGTGATTGGCAGAAAGATAGGGATGGAAGAGCCAACAGGATATCTTGATAGATGAACAGATTAACCCTGGCCACCAATAAGGAAGCTAATCTAAGGACAAAAGGCTCAGTAATAAGTACAGTAAGAATTATGGGACGTATAGGAGAAAAAGGTGAGAGTAAGCTAAAATTGAAACAGAAAATGACAACAGACTATTTATGTAAAAGATATACTGTAGTATCAAAATACTGTTTGATACAAGTATCACACCCTACTGGCTTTAAAAAATAGTTCTTCAGACTGGAGTGCTGAGTACACCCATCTCACCTTGAGCACTCCTGGTAAATTTGCTACAGCAACATGAGCATCTTCCATCTCAATACGCCATCCCTGCATGCTGGCCAGTCCATACCGTAGGCCATTCCCGACGCCGTGCTCATTGTGTTTGTCTGTTTTCGGCTTGTCTAGAAATGCTCCCATGGTAAGATCACTTCCTCATCTGAGAATAGGAATAAAAAAAATCACAAAATCCTCAAAATAAGAACATTGATAAATACTGTCTAGATGCAAAAATATAATTACTATAGTACATGTACCGGTATTTTCTTAAGAGTGCTGCTGGGTAGTATGAAGTTACTGGTACAGCCCTAGTTGTTTCACAATCATGGAAAACTAAGCAAATTCGCTGAGTGAGACATACGAGGTTAATGCCCGAAAGTTTATTTTTAACAAAGCAAATTAACCACTTCTACAAAAACAATGTACATATCCAGGTACAAGTCAGCTAATACACCATACATACAATACAGTACAGTACTGTACTTTGAAATGACTGTTTGTGAACCTTCACAATACAACTTGCATACTTTGCTTTTCTTTTCGTTATTCATCATTTTTTATTAACATAATAAGGTTTATTATATTAACTGATAGTGAGCCCTATGTATAAATAATCAGAGGGTTACCATCAGTAAATAATCAAGCAAGCATATAGTGCAGTCTGTTGGCTTGTATCCCTCCCTCTCCCAACAACTGAAACTTGTGTAATATATCTCTGTAAATGACCTTTATTTATGGGGCTGATATATACATATGGAGATGTATACACTGGTAGTGTACTGTATTCACAGAATGGGCAGGGCTCTGTCTTTGAAGTGAGGGAAATGTGGTGTTAAAACACACAAAAAATTCAAAGCTTAGGCAACCTGACCTACCCTTTCCTAAAGTAAAAATAAGTCCTAAATTAACAAAAACGTATACAGGTATTATGTAACCGATGAGGGCAGAAAAAGCAAAGCCACTTGTAACAGGAAGAGAAATGTGTTGTGATTGTTATCAGGGTGAGCTATATCAAGCAGAAAAGTGTTAATCATAAAAAAATTCTAAATTTTACATTTGGAAGGAATTACTTTATTTATAAATTGGTATTACATTATAATGAATTCTCCAGTATATTTTTCTTTATTTTCTGAGCTCTGATTGCCTTCGTGACAACATCAAATTTGAATACAACTGAAAACCCATAAAAGTATTAGAATTATACCGAAAATGTTAAATATAGTTACCCTGGTGTTGTCATAAGTAGATATACACATTTGGTTTTGTATGAAAACACACAAAGACAAGCCGAGACGCAATGCCATTTCATTGGTTAAATAAGGTATGGTAAGCTTTTTTTATAATTAAGACTTACCAAAATAGGTTATTTTTACATATTTTTTCTTATAAACGAATATGACAATGGGCAGTGCTTTGAATAGGAAGGAAAATGAGGGGTTAAAACACATACCGGTACTAAAACAACAAACAAACCTTTGAAAACCATACCTAACCCTTTGAACCTATACAGTACTGTATTACTATCCAATTTACCCTAAATCTTACCTTATTTATGTGATGGAAGCACAAAATCTGAATTGGTGAACCTGGTTTCATACACAACCAAACATATTTATGTTTGGCGGACGTGATCTACACAGCACTAAGATATACTGTACAACAATACAGACGGATTTCAAGTTTACTAAACACATTTTTGTGGGATTTTATATTCAAATCTCTTTCACATGAGTTTCACATGATTTGTTTTGACTAATCAAAGGCCAGTTCAAATCTCTTTGTCAATTTACACATGCAAATTTTTTTATCTACCTGTAGATGTTTTCAAGTGTCTCTTGTGACCTAAACAAGCATCACTGGCAAAATACCAAAAACATGAAAAACATAAATATAATCACTTTTGTCTCTGCCATCGGTTAAATAAGGAAAGGTTAGGTTACATTTTATAAGTTTTTCTTTTGCCCGTGTAGGAGTTACATAGTATCTGCATAAATATGTATTTCCCACAGAATTAAAGATCATATTTGTTTATAACAGGGGCTATTAATGAGGACTTCACAGTGAACGAGTTATGTATTTTAATGTTTATATTCTTACTATATTTTCATCAGTGAGTTCTGATATACAGTCTCTCCTGGACTTACGATGGGGTTCCGTTCCGACGAACAGGTCGTAAGTCGAAAATAATACATAGAAATTCTAAAATGGGTCTCTTTTTCTTCTCAGCACCACAAGAATTCTCACTTTTATGCTTGCTAGCCATTTTAAAGGGAATTACAAACGAAAATTTTATCAGTACACAGTGCGATCACTAACGTCGAGACTCAAAAACACGTATAATGTGAAAAATATTTTATACGACCATGGCCGTTGCATGTCTGGGTTGTCGTAAGTCGAATAAGTCGTAAGTCGAGGAGACTGTAATAATAATTTTTATGGAAATTTCTTTGTTTGGTAAATATTTAGACAAACAAACACGCACTACTTTGTAACAGGTATAAATACATAAAAAAATCCTATTTTAGTAATCAATTTGGTATTACAGTATTTTGGTTTTGGTCAATCCGGTAATTTAACCCCCACCAGAAAGAGGGGTCTTGTTAGGTTAGATATAGACCCTGGGTTCTGTGGCTAGGTTAGGTTAGGTTGGATATCTAAACACAGGGATGACCAAAATTAAAATTTTACCATCACTTTCTCGTTAAGGCATAAAACAAATCTTCACCTAAATCACCATCAAAAACAAAAGAACTATTTTTGTTAGTAATTTCTGATTACGTACTATACCGAATCTTTGCTGCAATGCATTTGAAACCTCGATAATTATTAACAACCCGAGGCCGATTTTTCTTTGAACACGATTATAAAAATGCCGCAATTTCACTGTTTTATTGTAAGTACTGTCGTAGTTTGTGCAAATGTGTTACAATGTGGTTATTTCTAAATTAAACCGAACCTAACCTTAGTTGATATAAAAAACAAGCAGCAGAAGCGTTGTTCGAAGACTTCAGCACCTAACCAAACAATCCTATCTAACCTTACATAACTGCCTAGCCACCCAAATATATTAAACAGAAAGAACTTACTATATGGAGTAGTTTTACATTTTTTGTGGACGTGAGAGCAGCCACCTGTACCTAATGGTTCATAAGCATACACTGAGCATTGGCGTTGATTCCTCTCCGGGAAGCAGTGTGTTTTGAAATATGTCAATATGATTGGTTGTTTACATAAATTAGATAAATTAGTGTGCGCCTAGGTCCTTAATTATCTACCAAATGAAGCATTTGCACAAGAAATGATTATCATATCAGAACTCATGGTATTATTTTACTTTCGGACATAGCGCCCCCGAAAGTTATAAACTACCTCAACATATAGATCTCTCTATTTTGAGAATTTTGAACCACATGTATACATGGCAGAAATGGATAATAGCAACACAATTGAATTTAATTGATTTTAAGTAGTTTTCAGTCTTCGTCTGTGAGATGTTATCGGTACATTACGCATGCGCAATGTTGACTGATGTCATCCAGTCGTAACCACTGAAGTATCGATATATTCACGCGAATTTCTTTTCTACCAATCACATTTGATTTTTTTCAAAGGAAGCAGCCTGAGTATGATTTTAATTGATCAGTTTCACAATGGGTGTGGTGGAGGTTGGTTGTCGTTTGTGCTCCTACGATTATTTTAAGTTTATTGCCGAGTTTCACAAAAAGACGAATATTCTAACCAATTCTTAAGTATCCCTGGTCCTTCCACTTCTAAGATATTCTACTTTCGGACATGGCACGCCCCAAAGTATTTAACCATTTGAAACATTTAGATTAGTTTAAGCTAGACCTACCGGGGATCCAGGAGCGGAGCCCCCAGCTAGAGGTTAGGTTAGGTTAGGTTTTGTTAGGTCAGATGTCTCGTTTTCTCCCCCACCCAAAAAATCCGATTTCCCAGATTCTACCCCATTATTGTTGGGGGGTGGGGGCAAAACCGTTAAATTTCAGCCAAAAATGAAGGTCAGATTCGTTTAAAACACCAAAATACACTGGAAAAACATATCGGTCACCCCCTCGGGGCTCATGACCTACAGTAAAAATTTACCGACCTCAATGATGAAAATAGAAGAAAATAAACAGCAAAACAAAAATTCGTCCGCGGGTCAATTGTCAATATTAACCCAAACCTCCATAGTCCTAATTAGAAAATCATAAAATTTCAATAAAATCATATTATATAGTATTTACCGTGAATAAGTAAACATATCAGTGACGATCACATAAAATATAAGGAATAGTGACATCTTAACTATTACATAACCAACTCAACCCTCCAGCAAGTGTTATAGAAACAATGTGGTTAACTTACATTGGCCCTACCTCATAAGAAACCTTAAGTATATATTACGCCTACCACTTGACAACCACCAGCTGGTGGACTTAAGATCTTATACATAGCACTGTTACCATAATTACAAAACTAATTATGATAGATTGGATCTTATCAGGAGTGATAACCATGCATAGATAGATGTAGGTGTTGACAACAAGTTGTGAGTGGTTCATGTAAGGACCAAATTAAATTTATTTCGTTTAATCAATGCTGAAAGCTTTCTTCATACTCATTACCAGTATTAACAAACAGTGAGAAACAACGGAGCCACGCAGTCTAGTGTATGACTCCTGACTGCATCAACGCTGTGTAGACCAATACTAACATTGCCTCCTCTTCCCCTCTGCAAGTTTCAATATTTCCTGACTTGTGATTCCGAGAATGGCGCAGTCGCTTAACTACATGACACCAGAGACAATTAAATCATCAATCCAACGCAACGACGAATTCTAGCCACTTACATTACATCAACACAAATAGTACTGCCATCGATGTACACTCTCAATAATAGACTCTACAAATTCATCTTCATCGTTCAAAACCTTATCAAGTAAAAAGGAATCCAAAAACACCTGCGCATCGTTAAGGAGAATTCGATTTTGTTTTATACACTATGACGTCACAGACCTGTAAGATAATTTTGATCGGAACCTTAGTCAACACTTACGTTCAGTGAAAATAACTTTTGTTTTAGTATCGATTCTGAGGAAAAGTATTGTAGGTTAAATGCAGTAATGACGACAATTTTCCTTTACACGGGGAACTAATGTGAGTTAGTTCATGAAATTCTTGAATCCGCCACTGGAAAGATTTTTAGAGAGACTGCGAGAAGGTTCATAGAGTGTACAGGATCAGACACCAGCAAACAATGTAGAGCGGAGGGTCCGCGTTACCCGACGGGTCGCTTGAGGATGACTCATCGCCAGCAACGAATAGACCCCGCTACTTTGATCTTACGTCACCATCAAAATTAAAAGTGACCGATTTGTCATTTGCTCTATTCTGCAAATTATATGTGTTTCACTTTATATTTAAGTTTTACTGTAATGTTTTATTAAATATTAATATGCATGAACAAATCTTTTAATGCGGGTTTCAAGCAGCATGGATTTTACCAGAAAGACATACCAGTCCCAGGCAGTCGTAAGACCAACAAATATATATTTCCAATCAACTTAACTACGCACACACATATTCTGTTAGGTGTATTATAACCTTTCATAAGTTTTTAATATTCGTAAGAGTATAAAATCATCTCATATATCAGTGACTAGACGAACTGTCAGTTCTCAACGATCTTTGACGTAACACGATTTTGCTAAGGAATTCTGAAATGACAATGAAATTACTCATTTAGTCAAATATAACACTTAAACCTTAAAGATTAAGTGATTCTTAGAAAAAATTGCCGTTTCTGATAAGTTTAGAATATTGTGGTGTGAGCAGGTGCGCGTGGGCGGGCGGCAGTGCACCTGGCCCGGGCAGCAATAATTGGCTGGTCGGCACACGTGAAGCGAGAGCTTAGTATATGCTCTAGTTTTTGGCCATTGACACATATTTGTACGCCATCTCTCAAAGCCACTCATCAAATCTCCCTTTTAATCTCATCATATCCTAAATATATCGTATTGCAACTACGGTAATTGACTGTGGTGATAATGACACGACGGTTTTAAATTGGACAAGTTGCTTCGATTTCAAACCTGATATCATGTTACTTCACAAATCCTAGGTTGATATAGGATAATTTTCCAAAATTAAAATCCCAATAGAATAATTATGACAGTATAACTCACTAAAATACACTATACATATCTTTAAAAAAAAAATGCTACATTAGCCTGACGGTCTAGGCACTCTAGGGGTAGGGCAGTCTTGCAGGCACTGCACATGACTGAATTCATTTACCCAACTGTAAAGTACCCATTCACAGCTGGGTGGATTAGAAGGTATCTCAGACCCAAACCAGTGACCCTTGGGACAGGAGGCAAGCATAATATCCACTCCGTGTATCTTTTAAAGATTAAACCGTACTCACCTCAAGTGGAAATCAAAGCTTCATTAAAAGACGGAAACTTTATACTTCCAGTGCCTAGTGGCAGGCACCATATTCAGTTGGGAGTACTGTACTAGAGTATCAGTAGACATCGAGACTATAGTAAGTATCTCTTCTAATATGGGTGACCTTAGTTAGTGTAGTACCTATACCGCAGACCTCATTTTTTTTACCAATACAATCTTTCCGTTATCTCGATTTATTTCAAAAAGTCTATGGAAACTTTACACCTCATTCCGCAATGCTGTATTTTTTTTTATCCTCTTCACCATTGATCAGTGCCGGATTTAGACCTGTGGAGGCCCATGGGCAGCCTCTTTGTGGAGGCCCCCTCATTATAACTACCCAAGAGGGTGGAGTGGCGAGTGAAACGAGCCTAAACATCTGGGAGTTCCGGGAGGCGCTGTAAGCCCCCCGGGAAAATTTTGAAATTTGAACACTTCTTTGGAGAATTTTGAAGCCATATGCAGTTATTTTGAGGAAATTAGAACATTGAGAAATTTTTAATGAACTGTATATTTATTGGTAGTGTACAAATTCCCAACACACACAAAAGTGAGACATGACTGGAGTCATTCATGTGGTTTCAAGTCGGTTCGTAGGAAAACCAGGTATTCATGAATTTCAAGGAGTAGCTAGCCTAATTTCTATCACGCTTCTTGCTGAACATAGTTTTACGTGATGGAATAGATAAACATAAATTTTAAAGAATGAAAATAGAAATAATCCAAATGAATAAACAAATAAATAAAATATTGTAATATGTGGAGGCCCCTGGGCAGCTGCCCACTCCTGAACCCGGCCCTGCCATTGATCGGCTCGTTTAGCTGTATGGGCGGTCGGTCACGTCTCTGTTACGCACTGTTAGCAAGTATTGGGCTGTCACAATACTCTCAGGCACATTATTCCAAGAGTTTACAATTTTCACTCCATAAAGGTTTGTCTTCACAATTTTCTGAACTTGTGACTTCTTCAACCTTAAGCTGTGACCTCTAGTGGGGCGGGCGTCCGCCAGCTCCAGGCATGGATACTCGACTGAGTAGTGTCCTCTAAGATGTTTGTTAACTGCAATTAAGTCACCCCTTGCTCGTTTATAGTATAAGCTGAGCAGTTGCAGGCACCAGTCTGGTGGCCTTCTTTTGGACATTTTCATTCAACTGACAGTCTCTAGCACGACTTTGTAAAGGTTTTAGATGGTAAACAAGTTAGGTTAGTTAAGCAAATGCTCGATCATAAAATGTTAAATTTATTGGATCACCTGAAGAATCATCGCCCCAGCTTATTTCACCTAAAGATTAAACCACCCTAAAACTATTTTGGGAGGATGAGGTTAGGTTAGGATATGTTAGGTTAGATTTAGGTTAAGATAGAATAGGTTTAGGTTAGGTTAAGTTAGTATTAAGGTAGTTAATCTTCAGGTGAAATAAGCTGGGGCGATGATTCTTCAGGTGATCCTTATTTAATATTTGGTTAGTCTTGCTAACTAATAGGGATACTAACCATGAGAGGGGGGGGGGAATTACCTTTCTCGTTAATAATTATATAGGGAATTTTACCGAGCTTTCCATGTATCAAGGTTGTCTTGTATCCTTACGGTTTCATTGTATAATTTATGATCTATGAAATCTTGTATTTTGTTTTATTTTGTAATGTTTCAGTATGTTGAGTTGAAAATCTTTTCTTAGTAGAGTTCATGGTTTCGGGGCTTCACAAGGTTTCGAGTAAATGTCTTTGAGCCAATCTAAAGTTTACACCACAGAGAAGAAACAAGTGAGTGTAGAGCGGGTCACGGGTGGCGGACTGGCGGTGCCTTCACTGCAGACTGCACTCTGCAGCCTTAGTTCTGGAGGATTGAGCGACTGTAAAACAAATGGTGTGTACACCTCAGAGGATGTGCTCATGTCTGAAGGTGTTGTGTGCAAAGGATTGCTCCCGTGTTGTGGTTGTTGGTGAGGAAGGACACCACGGCTCCAGACACTGACGTTCATCGGCAGCCATACCTCCGCAGCCGGGTCCAAACTTAAGTACCATTCGCACTTTATAACGTGTTATTGGGAAAGTGTTAATGTATTTCAATATTGAAACTATATATTAGCTTATTATTCCGCAAACATCGGCTTGCAAGCCTCAATCGTATGCCACTATTGCGGAATAATTACCCAATGGGCTAGTAGAATGACCAAAGTAACTGGTTAGGTTCGGATATACATATATATTCCGATGCTAATGTAGCTCTGGGGAATGAGTATGTTCTTAATGCTTCTAGTTATTGTTGCTGGTGAAGATTCAGTAGATGACAACAACGGGACTCCTCAGTATATTGATTTGTATATATTTCTATATATTTTATTACTATTTTTTTTGATAGAGCAAAAAATGAGAATACATTATGGCTTTTTGGCGCAAATTTCTATCCTGTAATAAAATCAATATGTATTTAGAAGCTATAGACTTAAAAAATTTCCATTAATGTAAATAATTAGGCAATATTGCAGTAAACAGCAACCACAGAATTCCGGAAGTTCACTACACAATTTGTTCTATAATAATTTTTTTTCATATTACACTTTCGTGGCGATTCTTTTGTTGTTGTAATCTGCAATTTTACCAATAATTATATAATGTTAGTATTCATATTATTACAAAGAGAATGCCATAAAATTTGGGTCAAATTTTAGTTTCGGTCATCCCTGTATTAACTAACCTAACCTATCCTTGCCGCACAACCCATGAACTAGGGGGGGGGGGGAGGGCAAGCCCCCCCACCCCAGCCCCTTCCTGATTCCAATAGTTCAATTCCTAAAGGCGGCGTCACACTGGTATTCTTTCGTCGATTTTTGTCAACTTTCAGAAGGTCGTCAAACTTTTGGTTGTGCACCGTCACACATGCGCTTAGAACCAACTCGTCACTCCCTCGTTCGACAACTGCCAACAACAGACGAAGACAGCCCAGCAATTCTATGCATTTTTGGGTACAGTAATATTTAACTTTATTCCCGCGTGGTCAAAGTGTAAACAACAAATGAAATTTTTTTACCATTTTAAAATCACGAAATTAAACATAATAATGAGTAATCTTGGGAAGAAAAGTAATAATTACAGCATCTTTTCTTTTTTACTTTTATCCTCTTCACCACTGATCGGCTCGTTAGCCACTTGGGCGATCGGTCATGTCTGTTACTTTTCCTTTTCTTTTATCTTCACCTCTTCACCAAATGATCGACTCGTTAGCCGCTGAGGCGGTCGGTCACGTCTCTGTTACGCACTGTTGGCAAGTACTGGGCATGCACCGGCTCCTGAATGTACCTGAACCTGCTCAGTGTTGGTCAAGTCTGGTCTTGAAAGAGCTCACACTCGGTGCCGTTACAACACTCTCTGGCAGATTGTTCCATGAGTTCACAACTCTC